TTATTTAAAAAATTCATTACTAATCCTTTTATTTATCTAATTTACTTACACAAAATTAAAAAAAAAATATTAATACAATTTACTTAAAATTGATGAGAACTTATTTTCTTCTTATTACTCTAAATATCATTTCCTTTCTGTCATAAATTTTTTTAGCAAAGAAGAAATTTATTGTTTTTAAAATTTATTTTTCTGTTTTCAAAAATAAGAAAAGAAAGATAAGTCCAGCCGAAATATTATTATTATTATACTTACATTTTTTTTCTTCTCATAAGGATTTTGGAACGTTCGAACCATCCGAAAGTGTGGTGTGCCACTTTCGACGGTACAAATTTCTCTTTCTGAGCATTGTGTTGTTCAATTCAGTATATATATAACTGATCATATATACGTGCAGAAAATGAAAATAACGTATTTAATTTTTAAAACGCGCTAAATATTTATATTGTGAATAAGACTTAAGATACTTAATTAATCATCTATATATGTTTTGTCTACGCTCCTCTGAATTTTAGATTTTTTAGTTCTTTTTTTCCAAACATAAGTAAATTGATATCTTATTTATAAAATATTCGAATATTTTTAAACAATAGTAAAAAATGCGTCTCTCTCTCTCTCTCTCTCTCTCTCTCTCTCTCTTTACATGTGTGAATATTAAAATAATTCTGAGATAGATGTATAAATGTATTATTAAAAGAGATAGCAATAGTTAACAGGAAAAATTCCAAAAACATTTATCATGTATAATGATAAAAATCAAATGCGCATATTAACACGTATAAGTAATTCGATATAAAAAAACAGAGGACCGCAACGCACTTCGACATTCTCGTTCTCCCCCACTCATCGCTCCTTTAGATTCGTTTCATCTTGACGCTTCTTTTTCGAAGCAGTATGAATCAGTCATGAACGGTCGTGAATTGTGACGGATAACGTATAACGCTTGCTCGATCAGATTCAAATCAGATGTGAAAATAGTTCAAAGAAGAAGATTGATACGCTGATATACTTCTCTAAAAACACATAAAGTACAATCTGAAAATTGAGGTAATTAAACTTATATAAATTTATTTTAATTATTATATGTTAAGATCAAGATATTTTAACTTAATTCTACTTTAAATTTAGAGTAAGTTTCTCAAGTTCTTAGGGTAATGAAATAGATTCGCGTTTAAATTCTTTAATGTCCGCAATGTTCAATCGAATCAATTCTGAATTAACAATTCGCTCTCTCTTTTCTTTAGATTCTCTAGATTCTAGAAAATAATATATTTAGATTTTCTATATCTAGATTTTCTAGATTATATTATTTAATTATATAATCTTACAGCATACTATTAGAAATACAATTGCATACCGATTATACCAATTGAGATAAATAAATCTATTAATATAAATGCATGAATTAAAAATTGTTATACTAGTATAAAAGTATGTATATTACGCAAAGTGTCTCTTTTATCACGTAATGTGTCTTTTTTGTACCAATCTTGTCTATAATGCGCTTTCTTGTAGTATAACATTCATTGCTTGGAAACATAGGTAGAATATATCTATAGACATATATAGTTGCATAGCATTGCTGAGTGCTAGAGTGAGTTATTGAGACAATTTACTCAATAATATCAAGAAAATATTTCCTCGACACGCGATATGCTTCCAGAATTTTTATATTTGACAATGAAGAAATATAAATTCTTTTATAATTAAAATTAGTTTGAGATTTCAAAATGCATTTGTTTTTGCCATCATTATTTTAATATCCAATACAATAATGAATATAAACAAAGCGAAAATTTATATTATATATTACCGCGATAATAAAATCTATATATAATTGCAAATATATTTTAAAAAATGCGTTTAATTTAAATCTCTCGTGGAAAGAAAAAAAAATTTCTTTTACTAAAGAAGAAAAAGGAAATTTAATACATTACGGTATAAAAATTTGCTAAAAATATAACATATTAAAACAAACATTACTAAATTAAAAATTAAAATTAAAAACTGTACAGAATGAGATAAGAAATATTTAAAAACTTGTAAAATCTTATAAAATAGTAGATTATATGAAATTTGAGTATGTTGTACAATTATGCAGAATTAATTTATTTTTCGGAATTGATCTCCAATGCTAAATCGCTTTCTCAAAGCTATTTAAAGATAAACTTCCAAAAAATATTAGCAAGCTTTAATCAATCTCTTCATATAACGGACTTATGTATTAGTTATTTCAATTCATAATTAGTATGACAGATAAAAATTTGTTTATTTGCATAAAAACCCAAGTAGGTTTTTGTTTTGCATATATAAAATATCAATCAAATATAATCATAAATCAAGTGTTAGGCTATCTTTGTCTTACAAAATTTCTTGTAAACAGATCATTATAATCGTTGCAGAAAAAAGTAAAAATTAAAATAAATAACTTTGTAATGCGGTTATAAGTATTTGAAAAGGATTAGATGAGAATTCCGCTTGTTTCGATTTTGAGAAGCACATTATCCCAAAATATTGGCATCAATTAAAATCTGTAAAATTCGTTATATATCCAAGTGTAAAAAAACAGGTTGGCTGGAGCAACTGGTATTACAACTAACACAACTCAATTCACTTATTACGCGTTAACGCGACACGCACGATAGAAAAGACAGAGCGATGTTCTTAAAACATCTCGCCTCGTGCTTCGTCATCGTATGGTAATCGTGTGTGAGATACGACCTAGAACCTAAGAGAAGTGTACACAAGGTATTGCATTAGACATCTGTATAGAATTCCGTGAACGGCTCTGCTATTGCACACAAAAGTAATCGTAAAATCGACTTTTGTGTAATGAGCGAGTGTGTATAATTTCCCTCAATGACATTTTCCTTATATATTTTACGTTGATGTTATATTTACGCAGCACGTTTGATATATTAGCATCCACTCACGTTTTTCATCACCTACATTTACAGAAAACATTTTTGAACAAATGACGAGATGTTTGTATTTATTAATATATCATTTTTGTAATCGGAAAAATTCATTCAAAAATATTTATCTTTTATATTAATATCATTATTATATTCAATAGAGTGTTGATTTAATAATATTCCAAATCGATCCTCTTTTCTTTTCGCTTTAATCATCGGGAAAGTTTTTTTGAAAAAAAATCTCACTGAATTCGGTATCATATTAAGGTAGTTGTCTCGTAAAATAAATTTCTTACAAATTGATCCAAATTTTCACTATATCTTTATTGAAGCATTATCTAAGTGGTCCTGCAATAAAAAGACATTTACGGTTTAGAAGCTGAGATAATTGCAATTGTAATTAGTACTTTTAACATGTGTTGTATACACCATACTAAGGTTAATGTCATATTTTTAATTTTATTTTGAAAACTACATTTAAAACTTTAATGAAAAATAATAAGCAGAAGACAGATATGCAGGGTGTCCCATTTTATTTTTGACAGTCAAATAGTTAAGAAAATATGGGAGATACGGAAAAATGTTTCAGACAAAAATTGTATGGTCTCAAGGACAAATAATGGTAAAATTAATTTAAAAATAAAAAACAATTTTTCAAGGTCATATAAAGGTCATCTTTATTTTTTTAAATAAAACTACCCTGATTTTTTTATATAAATCAATTCCTCGTAATATTCGGCGTAAAAAGTTATAAGGATAGGATGGCCAAAAATTGAATACTTTACGAGATATTTTTATACTTTAATTTTATACATAATTTTACACAAACTATGAAATATCTCGTTAAATATTTATTTTTCAATTATCTTACCTCAACATTTTTATGCACCAAATGATAAGAGGAATTAATTGGTGTAAAAAACCATATAGTTGTCTTTATAAGAAAAAATATGGTATTATTTCAGCTACATATTTTTTCGTAAAGTATTCAATTTTTGGCCATCCCTTATAACTTTTATTTCATTAATCGCATTTTTTTTAATTTCTAAACTTTATTATTTGAGTTCTTTTTTAATGAAAAACTTAACTTTTTTATCGATTATTTCAAAACATAGATGAGATTCCTCACAAAATGAAATCGATTGGGATAATATTCAAATATTAACTAAATATTAACTAAATATAGACCAAGAACATTCCTATAGTAAGAGACTGATTTTAGAGATGCTTTATATTAAGAGACAAAAACAGGAACTAAATTTCCCTCTTCTTTCCTTCTTTTTTTTCCCTCTCCACATTTCCCTCTCCCTCTCTCTACCTTAGTGCTTTGGGTTTGAGAACTGGTTGTTAGTTGCTATGCTATCACTTGTATTTTATTCACTGATGTATTAAGTTAAGGTTCTATATTTCTAAGTATATTAGTTCATCAATCTCTGATTTCTCCAAAAGTGAACATTATTTTACTTTTGTGAATCAACAAAAACTTTCTGTAAATGTATGTATTCTTTTTATTTTCTATTTTTATTCTTTATTTTTTATTTTTGTATTTATTGTAATGAGGTAAACTATTTAATTCATTTTATTTTATCAACCCAGTAATTTTAACCGATTTACATTTTAGTTTTAATCATGATATTGACTATGAAAATTAACTTATTAATAATTGGTCTGTTGAAATCCTCATCTTTAACATCATACAACTCGAAATTTAAAAAAATGGCGTGCGATTATCTACACATAAGCATGATAAATGAAATTTGTTATATTAGTCCGAAAGCGTTTCTGTAAAATAACAAATAAAAGAAAAAAGGATATTTGTGCTTAAAACGCTGGTTGTTATTCGCTGATTATTACAATTTTCTAGTTTGTTACATAATGTGTTAACAGTCTTCATATAAAAACAAAGATTTGTTAGACGTTTCAATCAGTAATTTGATCATCTTCAGTAACTCAGGAAATTCACAATATAAAACCGTTCGATTCTCATACTATATATAAGAATAAAAAAAAACAATAAATAAATAAGAAAAATTCGAAAGATTATAATATAAAATAATGGAAATAAGGAACTAGCAACACACTAACAAACTAAAAAATTGTAATAATGAGCGAATAACAACCAGCGTTTTAAGCACGAATATCCTCTTTTCTTTTATTTGTTATTATTAGGTTGTCCCAAAAATTTTTTTCATTTTCTTACTAAAAATTAAATACTCAACCCCCCGTTCTACTCCCTTAAAATCTGGGGTAGAATTATGTGCTCTAAAAAGTAGGTGATATTTCACAAAAATTCATAAATGATAAAGTTTGGCCAAGTTCCAAAAAAAACACTCCAATATGTTTATATTTGAATAATTATCTAAATTTTTAATATATTACCAATATGAAAAGTAACTGATTACTTTTAATATTACCTTTATTACTATTACTATTAATATTATCTTTTGATTACTATTTATTCTTTTCTTTAAAAAATTCTTTTTGTGATAAAAAATTTCACTCTTTGAATGACATAAAAAATCACCTCGATTAATATTTTGTCAGTAAATCAAAGATATTTTGGAAAAATGGCATCATGAGGCTTCCGGAGAGATGGAGAAAAGTGGTAGAGCAGAATAGCTCGTATATACTTAAATAAATTGTGTCGTTCATAAAAGGTTGAGTATTTAATGTTTAGTAAGAAAACGAAAAGAACTTTTGGGACAACCTAATATTTCATACGTGCTTTCGTACGTTCTTCTTCACCTCCGTTTTTCTAAATTTTAATTTATGTATTAAATTATAAGCAGAATTCCGAAGAAGACCGAATTCAGGTCGAAATATCAATATTATTGATGTTGAAATTGTTTTCATAATATTATTGATGTTGAAATTGTTTTTATAATACACAATAAAATTGTTTTTATAATACAAACGCACGAACACTTAGCTTTGGCTGTTTTGCTTCTTATTTATTCCTTTAATTTTGATTTTATGTTGGCCTTTGAACATAATTTTATCTTAACTTTTAGATGACACTGTCGAGTTTAGAAGACAATTACCTTAATTAATACTAGTTGAATAATTTTGAACGCATAATAATCAAAGATAATTTGAGATCTCGATCTTTTTTTTTTCTTAGTCGATAATTGAAAATAAAAAAAAGGTTTTCTAAATCTTTTAAAAAATTTTTAAATTAAAAAAAAAAGGTTTTTAAATTAAAAAAAATAAGATTTTTTAAATCCTCCGATAATTATTTCGAAGAGTTTAAATAGAGTTAAACTAGATGTATTTTCGTAATTTCAGCTTTTGACACGACGTCTCTCGTAACTAATCCAATTGCACTTTAGCAGTAAGATCGATAGTTTTATTAAAGGCAATAAACAGCGGCAATGACGTGACAAAACGGATTGTAGAGCTTCTGTTGTCGCTATTAAATGTTCTTGTCGACCTTTGTTCTTATTACAAGGTGAGTTAAAGTAAATCAATAATATAGTATACACATGGCAATGATTCTAAATATTAAACTTATACAGGTGATTTGAGTTCTTTGAATTGTTTAAATTGAGCGTTATATAAAAACGTCAATCAATCACTTCAATGTTAAAGCTGACAAATACACTTTTAATATCTCAAAAGTGAAAACGTGATAGCACTTTGTATGCTATAAAATTAATCGACATCATGGTAAGACTTAGTTCAAATTTTGTACTTAAGATTTATTTGTTAATAATATGTATAAGCAAAGATAATTAAAACTATCATTTGTTCTTTTTCACATAAAAGATTCTAACTGTGATAAGGATCTTACTGAAGGGCTTTATGTTCCTTCTCTATTGTTTGCTCAGCCCATTTTTCAAATTACCAGGCTTGAAGAAAAAACAACAATGTTCACTGATTAACAATCCAATTTTGTTGCAATCAGCGACGGACATCGCGCGGAAAATTCGCAAAAGAGAAGTAAGTTTATATCATTCGACAAATTAATCTCAAGATAATTTCTATAAAACAACATTATTGTCAAACCAATGCAGGACGCCTTTATATATTCCTGCAAGAATCCCTGTCTTGAAAGACAATCGTCTTTTCACCCAATATTCAGTTAAAACAAATTATTCGATCCTAATTTTTAACATAAAAAATACAGGATTGTAATGACTTTGTTATTTTTGGAAGATAAGTTGCGAGGAAGTGATTATCGCGTATATAGAGCGATGTAAGGAAGTGAATCCATTGATCAACGCGATTGTGGAGGATCGTTTTGAGATGGCTATTCAAGAAGCGCGCGAAATCGACGATTTTCTAAAGTCAACAACGATGGACGAAGCAACAATCATAAGCAAAAAACCACTGCTCGGGCTGCCTATCACGGTAAAGGGAAGCATTGCTGTTCAAGGTAGAGTTCTACTTATTGTTAGGTACATTCTCTAACATAAAAAGAATACGTTATAAGTTAATGCAGTCACTTTTCATGAAATAGTTTGGTTGGTACAGTATCAATATTGCGACGCAAAGTCATAAAACAGAAATTTGAATTTTTGCAGATTTTGTGTTATTAATACTTATTTTGAGCATAAAAAACTCACAATATGCTCGCAAAGTCGTCAGAATGTTTTTCTATGAGAAATATTTATTTATATCTATAACTAAATGTTCATAACTTGAAGCAAACATATATTTGCATTCAAATTAATATGAAATCAATTCTATTTAAATACCAATGTATTATCTGTTATTAATTGCTGTACATAAAAAAAATATTGAATCAAGTATGACAAGTGATATTTTTATGCATGATTTATTCCCGGAATATTATTGTGTGCTTTTCATTAGCATCAAATTACTAGATTTTAGTCGGCATGTTTGCGACTTCCATGCATGAGCAACCAAGGTCGCTAACTTTTCGAATGTAATACATTCCTCTTTGAGAAATCTGTTTGCATATTTTACCATTTCCAGCAACAGTCCGTGCAGTGGTTTGACGATTTCACTTTTTTGCATATAAATTTATAAGAATTTTTAAGAAAAACTTTTCTTACGAAATTTTTATTTAAATTAGAAGTATATTTTTGCTGTCTATTTTACGTATCGATTATATTAGCAATTTAAAGTGACATATTTTTGTACAAGTTGTCTATATAATTTTTTTATTTTTTATTTCAGTGCGGAATGCTTAATTTATTAGACATATTTTATTATTGCAAAATATTGCAACGGTTTATCACTATTTTCGTGCAGTCTATCTAACAATCTGTTAATATTGTATGTTATAAAATCGCGTGCGTTTATGTATTTTGAAAAAAATGCGTAAATTTTAATATTATTATTGACACCGAAGAAGATCTAATGACAAATTGAAACGTTTGCTTATTTCATTTTAATACATATTTTTTCATAAACAACTGACATTGGCTCTTTTTGCTTATTTATATTTCGATTTTAATATCGAATCGCATAAATTTACACTTATTAGAAAGATCTCAAGTCATAAGCATTTAATATCTATTTTTTTTAAATGTGTGCGTGTGATTGCACGTCACAAATTATATTTTTTAGTAATTGGAGACTGTCACAAAAAATTAATTTGAAATGTACAAAGAACATGCAGTATTTTAAATATGTATTTTTGATACATCATAAATATAAAAATTTATTTCTTTAGGGATGAGTTATACTGTAGGAGTGAAGGACACTCCCTCGATAGCGACGCGTGATGCTGACGTCGTGACAAAGATTCGTAAAGCCGGCGGGATTCTACTTCTTGTCAGTAATACGCCAGAGCTATGCTTGTGGTGGGATACGTTCAACAAAGTGACCGGCATCACCAGGAATCCTTACGACACACGGAGGACCGCTGGCGGCTCTTCCGGTGGTGAGGTTTGTACACTGCTCTTTCTTTTCTGTAGAATAGCGCATGAATTTTCTTGAAGAATCCGCAAAAAAATTCTTATGTAAATAATATATAATGTAGTTTTATAATAAATAGACGTAATACATTTAATCAGGGTGCTCTTCTGGGCGCTGGCGCTTCCCTTCTGGGCTTGGGTTCAGATATTGCCGGATCGGTCAGGATCCCGGCAATGTTTTGCGGTGTATTTGGTCATAAACCTACACCAAGTAAGTGGACATTTACCAAATAAATTTAATTAATAAAAAAAAGAGAAGAAGGAAAACATTTAAATATCAATTTTTTACATTTGTTATTTATAAAATAATTTATAAAATAACGTCGCGATGATCAACAAGCAAAATAATTTTATATCTTTACAGATTGGATTTCGATAGAGGGCCACAAGCCAAGTGCGACTGATGAATATTGGCCCAACTATTTTGCAATTGGTTCAATGGCCAGATACGCCACTGATTTGCCTCTTTTGTTGACAGTGATGTCACAATCTAATGACGCCAGAATTGGTTTCAACAAGAAAGTAAAAAGTTTTTTAACCTTAATTTAGTTAAATTTATTCCGTTGTTTTAATTTTTATGTTAGACATAAAAGAAAAAAGTCAACCCCTTAAAAAGTAAACAAACAACAAGCGACGGCTAAAACCTTTTGATTGTTACTCAGTGATATATCCTTGACAACATATGTCAAGGTCATTGACTTTTGAAGGGGTTGACTTTATGTGAATATTTACCACATAAAATATTTGCAAATAGATATTTTATTATGTTTATTCGTTCTGCAAGCTACTGTAATTAGCTAAAATTATATATTTACCTAGGTGGATATGAAAAAAATAAATTTTTTTTATATGAATAATAGCGGCTCCAATATAACAAACTGTGTACACAATGATATAAAAAATGCAATTTATAAACTGATACAACATCTGGAGGTTACACACAACGTCGAAGTGCACAAAGTATGACAAAATTTTTCTTGTATTATATAAATTATTTCTAATTTACATTATTGGAAAATAATTATTATATATAATATTATGCAAAATATTATTCCTGCAAAATAGTATACAATATTATATTATAGTATAGTATGTAATATTAATTTATCATTATAAAATATAATAAAATATTGGAATAACAATATTTAATGTATAAAAATTGTCAAAAAAGAACTACAATCTGATTTTAAAAAATTACAATTATAAGAGCTTTGTATTTGGCAATCTGAATATATATATTTCTAAATATTTTCAGACACATTTGGAAAGTATGAAGATGTGTTTTGAGATAAGCATAGCCATCCTTCTCAATAACAAAGGTGTATATTCGATGTTCAATCGCTTGGATGATCCCAAGGTATAGTATAAATAACAAGATATAATAAAAAATATTAAAATATACCCATAAAGAAAAAATTTCTATTTTATAACTCTTTTAGAAATCGAAAAGTGTATTCACGGAATTTCTAAAGTACATATTCTTCATGTCGTCACATAGTTACCCCGCCATATGTTATGGTATAGTAAGCAGTTTGGTCCAAAAACTTCCGCGCTCAAGTTATAACAAAATGATGGAGAAAAGAGCGCAAATAAAAAAGCAGTTAGAGGTAAAATTCTGATCGCATCATTAAACTTTTCAACAAAACTGCTACATTTCTTGATCTTAAAACATGATTATTTGCAAAATATTTAATAGTTATGTTACGTTACTTTTGTTATTTATAGTGAAAAAATAATCAACATAAATCTTAATATGAGAGATAAAGATGATGCGATATTAAAATAATATATGTTGTGATATTTGATTAGGAATTGCTAGGCGATAACGGAGTGTTAATCTTTCCAACTTTTCACACATCAGCGTTTTATCATAATGAGATCTTATACAACTTGAACAATGTTACTTACATGATAGTCTTCAATATGTTAGGACTACCAGTTACGCAATGTCCGCTCGGCTTCGACAAAAACCAATTGCCAATTGGAGTTCAGGTAAAAAGATGCTCTCATTTTGTAATTCCGTAGAATATGCAAAAAAATAAATAATTTTATTTAAGATAATATAAAATCGATTATAAAGCAAAAACTAAAAAATTCAAGAATGATACAAGTTAGAGATATAGATAAAAACAATTTTTTTCTTTAATTTTATATATTATGATCTTAAAATCTATTTTCTTTTTTATAAAACAAAGTTATGTTTATTAGTTATTTTGAAAGAGAAGTTGAATAATTAATTTGTTTTTATATTAGTGTTAAATATGTTTTTATAATTATTTACCCACTTAAACACAAAGTAACAGTAACATAACATTAATGTTATAATTTCCCATTCAATAATATAATTGTTACATACAAGGCATGTTATATTGCAGTTATATTGTTGAGTGGAAAATAATAACATTTACGTTATGTTACTGTTAGCTTGTGTTTACTGAGTAGTCTTAAAATCCTTTCTCTCTGGTCCACAGATTGTCGCAAATCCAGGTTGTGATCATTTAACAATTGCTGTAGCACAAGAGATTGAAAGGATATTTGGCGGTTGGCGACAACCTATGGAAAATAAAGAATCTATTTGTAAACCTATTTAGTGTAATTGTTGAAGAAACAATATTAATATTATTCTCAATTGAAATTATAATCTAACATATTTTTTTATACATAAATGTATAACTGAATTTATAACAAAGTCAAATTTTTAAAAAATAAAATTTGATCTTAATAAAATTTACAATATAATTTTTGAAAAAGTTATTAGACTTAAGCAATTAGAATTATGATGTAGTACATATTCTATTAGATATTATACTTAATTAAATGTCTAGCATTGCACAACAAAATAAAATTTGAGTTTTGAAACTCAACATTAAATTCAATAAAAAATTGACACAGCGTAATTGCCAAATTACACGAACTTTACCAAATACATGTTGCACTAAATGTTTGACTGACTTTTAACGAAATTTATGATTTTGCAATCAATTTATAATTACACAGTTCAATAAAAAATAGCTTTTTTCGAAGTCAAGACTGTGAGGTATCTCCTCCAAGTAAACGAGAAATTATTGAAAGTTTAGAAATAGGATTGAAAATTATTGAGAAAAATTAAATAGAATTCAGCATCGTAAATGAATTCTTCTCAGTAATTTTCAATCCCATTTCTGAACTTTCAATAATTTCTCGTTTATTGGACTTTTATAGGTTTTTTTGCTGAATACAATGCCGGTTTCAAAAGCGCTTTATCACGTCACAATTTCGAGAAATTCAAAGTCAAAGTTGTAAAAAAGGGCTATTTTGACGTACTTGACCATGCTATAACTATAGTATGCGACGTGTTAGAAAAGTTTTTTTTTTTTAATAAAGTATATTACCAGAACTTTTAACTCTTAAAAAGAATTTTCTGTGTTTATTACGGTTAACAAGATTTTGACGATTAAATATTGTGTTTGTTACACCGCAAGCAGATTATAAATGGAACTAACAATAAGAATTGCAAATAATTTACTGAATATTTTCAATTTATGTTGATTATTTAATACGCTCTTTTTATGTCGGGAATCCAGAGTAAAGCCTTGTGTCCACGATGCTAGAACTCAATCCGAGATCTCGGTCCGAGTCCTCGAACAATAATATTTATACTTGGCTGAATATAGTTAGCGCTGTAATCGAGTTACGATTCTTTACGATGATTTTCTGATCTATGTTATAGAAAACTCATATCTTCAAACAACCACCAAGTTGGTTTATAGATATCATCAAGTGATGCACCGCTTGATTTCGAATGTTTTATTTTATTTAGATGGTCCAGATATTGTGATCTTAAATTATTAATTTTCTTTTTGCAATTTTAGTTGTTAGTGGTTGTCCTGTTAATTCTTTGTACTGATTACAGATTATCTGTAAAGCTTGATCTCGTTTCATACGATTATGATAATCAACACTTTTTGTAACATATAAACAAGGATGTTGTTGATATAACATTAATAAAATTTTAACATTTTCCTTATTATCCATTTTTTATTATAAAAGAAGTTTTTACTGAAAATCAATTTTATATATTATTATACTTTTCTTGAAAAATAATATGTATATATAGGTTATAATATATTTTTAATGTCTAATTTAATCTGCATTAAAACTAATAATAACTACTTATGTAAATCTTATTAATTATTAATCTTATTAATTTATTTTATTTAAGAATTATATTTCTCTTATTTTTTCAATTCTATAATTACTTACTAAAATATTATTTATATTGTTCACAGTATCTC